TGGATCACCTATTCGGCCAGAAGATATTGCGCGCTGTATCCAAGTGAGTAATTCTCTGGCACGTTCTTGGTTCTTTTTCATAGATCTAAATTTTCTAGGTATATCTGGTTGACCCCGATTCTTCGCATATCTTGTTACTCCGGCATCTGTAATATGTAAAGTTCTAAGTTCAGCAGGACGGATACAAAGCATCACCATGACATCTGCAAGAGCCTGATAATCGGGTAAAGTTTTAATATCATACGCATCTAATCTTTCCTTAACCGATTCTAATGTAAATTCATCTGGATAATCAATACGTTTAGTTTTAGCCTTTTTCTGATTGTTCATCTGGATTTTGTTAGCTTCTTCTGTAATATCTGGAAATTTCGTGGCCTCAATAAACTGGGGTGAAGCACCAATATTTCTTAATTCTCTTCGAAGCCAGAAAATACGTGATGAACCAGCATTAGTATTTTTTGCTGTTAGGGCTAAGGCATAAGCTTCAGCTCTTACATCTCTAATAGTAAGTTTATCCTGTAAAATCCATTGCGCCATCTCTTCAATAGTCTCCTCTATTCTTTTTGGGGTTTGTTGGAAATCACAATATTTAAGGTTTTACCAGAAGTACTTCCACATTGTCCATTTGTCTGGATTGTGAATAAGGTATTTACTTGATCCTCACTAAACCCATATCTATTTTGCAAGATTCGTTTTGCTTTCTTTCTGATAATCTCTTCTTCTAGATTTTTTTGGGGTGATACTAGAACTATTCTACAATTACCTTCGACAATATTTATAGTTTTATTTTTCCCACTCCTCTGATTAGGTATCAATACACCTACCTGCTCATTGCTAAATTTAAAGCCATCCCAAAGACATCTTCGAGCCTGATTCTTTTTTCTATCATCTGTAAGGTTTTTGAGAAACTCAGAGGTATATTGACTAAGTTCAGATATATCCATATTTGGAGTGAGTTTATATTTTTCAACGATTTTAGTTGCGATAGCTGACATGATTGAATGTTATAATAGGTCAGATAGTTTATGAACAATTCTTTAGGTTATATACACTATGGAAAATATCTTTTCAAATCGAAATTAATTATGCTTTTTTCCTCATATACTCAGAAAAAAGAGAGTTTATGTCTACCTACAGAGTAACCGGGATGTCGATTTGAAATTTACTATTATATGGGATATAACGAAAAAATATAGCCTAGAGATAGAGGTCCAGGTTATATTAAGATTTATGATTCATTTTTCTATTATTCAGCACATCTATCCAAATAAATTCTGGCACGATTCAACAGTTATAAGATATTTGTGATATATGTCCGGTCTGTTTTGTAATATTTTGGGTAGTGGTATTACTGCCGGTTTCCATATATTAAATAAGAAGGCTGTGTGATCGGAACAACCATAATCGATATGTTCAGATATTTCTGAGTAATTCGATAAATCACTAACATGTCTATATCCATTGCGGATTAATTTACGGAATGTTGGTCCATTCCGATTTTTCATCCGGTCAGTTAATAGGTTAAGTACTTTTTCTGGAGTTTTTTTCATTTTGTTTACGGTATATATAGAGCATGAGAACATATTGTTTTTGTAATATTTTTTATCTGAAATTTTATATCGACCATATATGGAGACGAAAAAACCCCCTATCTAAGTCCTCATCCATAAAACTCGTCTTATTTACCTCTTTTTATCAGAATTGGATATATTTATATAACTTACCATAGATATCCATTTTCTTCGAGTTTCGTTATACTTTTTTCCCATTCTTCATCATCATAAATACATGTATATGATCGGGATTCACCATCATCTTCATACATCCGAAGCTTAATCTCCATACATATCAATTTTTCTCGCCTGGACAATTCCATATATTCCTCTGGATCATCCCCATCTTTTCGCGCAAAATCGATTATATCCGCGTCTGCCATCATTTTATCTCGGAATATCTTCACTAAGTCTCTATCCTCTTCAGTTATGGTCATGAACTTATCTGGGTCTTCGCCATATTTAATCGCAGTTTCTCTTAAACGCGCCTTCCTTTCTGCTCGGGGTATATATCCAGGTGGATATGTTTTCGATTGGGTGCTAGCTTCTTCGTTATTGGTCTCGGGCTTATCATTCACTGATGAGGCATAGCCTCGAATCTCTGGTTCCTCAATGATCTTAGGAGAAGGTTCTGATTTTTTGTCCACGGGTTCTACGTATTCGATCTCGGGAGTCATGGATATATCAGTAGTCTTGGATGACGAAGCAACTGAATATTCCGATTGACCTGTTATATAATCGAAGAGATCCTGGGTCATATTAGTAACTGCTGGAATAGGTGCGGGTGATGAATCCTTGCCTTTTTCGATGCGATCTGTGGTTGATGTCTCGGCTATATTTTTTTCTGGTTCGGGGGGTTTTATTTCTGGTACGTAGAACATAGGTATATCTGTGGATTCGTTGGCGAGTGTCTCAGGTTGAGGTGCGTCAGAAAATTCCTCGATAACTCCTATCGATTCACGCAATTTAGCTACAATCTTGGATCGGTCAAGGATATATTGCCACTCTCTCTTTTCACCGCCAGCACGTTTATTTTCGATGTTAATATGTGTAAATTTTTTACCTAATATATTATTACTAAATGGTTTCTCACTATTAGCTTCACACCATGCCCAATACTCTTGATATATTATCGTACGACTTTGTATCTCAACTCGATCCTCAGACCATGGCGAAATATGATCAATTATAAATCGAGTGGGGCTGGAAAGATGCTCCAGTATTGTATCTGTTTTCATTTTAGTACTGGGAATATCTTGTGGGTCCCAATTTGAAAGATCACGATTAAGAAGATATGACATAACTATCCCTGGTGCGTCAGGATGTTCTAGTATTTTAGCCAAACGTTTGAAATATGGTATATTCCCTCTACAGCGCGCAGATACATCAAAACAAACTATACGAGCATCCCCTGCATCTATTTTAAGCGGGGCATCCTGGTTGCTTGTAATCATAAATGCTGAGTAATCTTTTAAATGAATAGGTTCAAAACCTTTACATTCTATAGACACTTTTGGTTCTGTTATAAGGGATTTGAGATGACCATTGAATATATGCCATTCTCCACTAGACATACTAGTCTCATTCATAACTACTAGCTTTTTACCTTGAATAAGACTGTTGAATTTTCCAAGAATTTTTCCTAGATCAGATGTTGCATAATAGAGCTTTGGTCCTAAGACTTTATCACCAATAAAATCAATGATAATATTTTTTCCACATTGTTGAAGAGTAGACTTTAATACACATATTGAACGAGGTTTCTTTTCCAGTTTTTGTATTAAATATGCCCACCAGTTCCAGATATAATTGTTAAGCTTTTCATTTTCATCAGAGATTACATTTTTTACGTGCCAGAGGATAGGATCCATAATTTCTTTTTTAATTTCTAGTGCTGGTTTAGCTGTAAATCCCAGGAAAAGATTAAAGAAATTTGTTTTTGGTGGAATTGTGTTTGGTGGGTATGGAAGAAAGTTTATTTTGCGATAACGAATTAGACCTTTGGTAACTGCTCGATCTATTAATAACCTTAACTTTATCGATTCCCTTCCAAATTCGACTATATTAATTTCATAATTAGCAAGTTCTAGTTTAGGCACAAATTCAAAGGTAAGTCCGCCATCCTCATCTTTATCTTCAACTTTAAATATCCAAAACTTTTTTTCTCTATCGATATAAGCAATTGTTGCTTGGATAGCTTTATAAACTTTACTACGGGTATACTTTTCTCCTGATGAACACATATCTATTAAGTCACCTCATACAAAACGATCATTTGGATCTGTTATTCTAGGCTGGTTTAATTTTTCTGGAACTGCAAGACTTTCTTCTTGTTCCGAAGTTTTTTCTTTAATGGTCAACTTTATTGAAGGTTTTCTAGATCCAGCTTCTCTATTATTATTCGCATAATGATAATAGAAACTATACGATTTCTTGTTTCGAATAACATACGCATTATCGCTTGTATGTAGATCTTTATAACCATATTCTTGATAACATAATGGGCAAAATGCTGGAGTCACCCGTTTAAGAGGAAAACTATTAGGAAAATTTTCACATGGACTTGAAAGTTCATATCTTCCGATTTCAAATTCTTCTAATAATTTTGCAATCAAATTGAGTTCGATTTCAATATCCTCAGTAGTTTCAGTACATGTGTTAGAAATTTTTGTTGATGCAGGTTCTGGAATAACTAAAAGAGGACTGACTACTTCAGGTGATTCATCATTAGGCGGGCAGAGCATAAAATCAAAGACAGAACTATCTTTTGGAAATAATGCTTTTTTTATTCGCACATGCTCATTAGTTTTTTCAATAAATTTTGGTGTTCCAAGCATTCACAAGGAAAATGGGTTTTTGTTGGTAATGTTATCAACAATATCTTTGCTTTGTAAACTAACTGGGAGTTTTTTGCGAACGAGCTCAGTAAATATTGCAACTTTGGCAATGTTTTTGAGACGAAGACCAAAAGTTGAGATATGAAGTGACATTTTTTTCTTATCACTACTGCTAGCAATTGTTAAAGTATGGGAATCCCATTCTGGATATATTTCTTTACAGGTTCTTGAAAAAGCACAGCAAAGTAAATCCTGTATTTCTTTGGATGAAAGCTTGGGTTCGATTTTATCAAATTTTTCTCTGGATAAATCAAAATCGATAATAGGGCGAAGTGGGCCATCTCCACCAATATATTCATGTAATGAATGGCCCTGACGTTCTATGAGAATAGCCTCTATTCCATCCTCAGAATTTGTACCAAGGAATTGTCTTTGTTTTACACTATCATCGCGGATTTTATACATGTATTCAGCCACGCTCTTAGCTCTAAACCCCCGGAAGTAGAATGCCCCGTTATTTTCTTCTGGCTCGGGTTCGAATTCTGGCTCCAAATTCTCTGAGTTATCTACGGTTGGTGTATCGGGTACAATAGGCATGCTATGTTCATTTTGGGTACTCATGTTTTTTCTGAAAGAATATTATTCGGAATTAAAAAGTTCAAAATGAAAATTAATTCTAAAGAATATTAATCTATACATATTATATACTCAATCGAGATAAATATCAAAAAGAATGGCAATTTATCGTTGTTCCTATATCCTTAAAACTGGTGAAGTCTGTAATCGGCCATGTTATCATCCCAATGGGTATAAAGTTCACCGGGATTTACCTATTCGTTATCCTTGCAAAGAATATGGTTGTGTTAAGTTAACTAATTCTGGTTATGGTTATTGTGATACTTATGCGCAGAAACATCGTAGAAGAGAGTATAGGCATCAGAAAAAGCTGGAGAAGGTGGCAGAAAAAAATACATAGTATGAAGGTGTATGTTGGGGGGTCGCGTCCACTTTTTCTTGGACGAATTTTTTCTTGAACAAATTTCTTGGATGAAAAAAGATAGCTAGTTAATATTTTTTTCATCGAAAGAAAAGGTTTTAGACTAGTCGTCCAGGTTGTCCAGGTTGTCTAGATAAATTTTCAATCTTCTTACTTTTATATTTTTTATCTATGTGTATAGAACATATGCATAGATATGTATATAGCGTATATGTACCAAAGATATGATATATAGCGTATACCATAGAAAAGAGTTTGATATTTTTTCCTAGAATTCTATTTTTTACCTAGACAACTTAGACGAAAATAGAACAAGTATAGAAAAACAAGTTAAAACAAAAATAAACCTTTTTCTCCCATGGCATTATTCGTCCAAGTTAACATATTTTTACCTAGATGAAACCAGGACGGATTTTTTATTAGGACGCGAGCAGATCCATTTTAACTGCATTCTGGAATATCA